TTTTACCGTGATATGAGTCACCATATATACTATCCATATCTAACAATGATGAAGTACATATAGTTTGTAAACTATTAATGATCAAATAGGTAAGCAATATCAAATTGTATTATACACTTCTAACATTCTGTCTAAACCTAATCTCATTGTCATTAGTTCTAAATTCATTGTTATTCAATGAACTTTATAAAAACATGAGTTATTCATTCATTTGTTCCAGCACCTACTACTATTCGGTTTTGGGTAATATTATTTCATTTCTTAATGATCATTAAAGAAAACTCTTAATAATTTTATACTTCAAAAGTAGATGAAACATAAATACATAGTTGCATTTGAGTGAACTATAATTTTGCAAAAAAAAAAAAACTAACTGGAAATTCAATTGTATTACGGAAAATATAATTTTTGAATAATAAATATTTTCAGAAGGGGTTTGTGGAGATTTTAGAAATTTCATAGATTGAAATCATGAGTCAATTGAAGCTAGACCACCATGGAAAACCTGGAAGCACTGGACGGCCGTTTCGTCCTAGTATGGGACTCCTCAGCAGCGCGCATCCACGATCCCGCACCCCGTGAGATCATCTGCTCACTAGTGACTGACTTCAAGGGATACTCCTGGAGTTCTAGTGAGAAGCTGTTACTAGTGGAGTTCAACCAGGTCTGTTGTGAGATATCAGCTCATTGAAGACAATGGTGTACGGTGGCGCAAGTTCGTGGATTGGTTGAAGTTAGACATTAACAACATTGGATGCCGGCTCAGTGGTCTAGTTGGTTAAGAGCCTGGCGCGAGACTGAGAGGTCCTGGGTTCGAATCTTGCGGGGTGTGGGATCGTGGATGAGCACTGCTGAGGAGTCCCATACTATAACAAAACGGCCGTCCAGTGCTTCCAGGCTTTTCATGATGGTTCAGCTTCAATAGACTCATGATTTCAATCTGTAATAAATATTTGTAAGAAGCATAGAAATTATATATAGCCTAGTATATGTAAAATAATTAAGACATTTTCGATTAATTCTACTCATGTATGGATGATGGTTCCATACTATGAGTTATAAAGAGATTCACAACTGCAATTGATATTTATAGCATAGAAACAAAATAAGTAGGATTGGGAGAGATTTTAACAAAACATCTAAAATATTTACTGAAGTTCATACTTCTAATTTTAATCTCAGAGAAAAACATTTATAAGCAAGCAATTCAGTTAGATTGAATAAAGCCAGAACAACAATTAAGATAATATAAATTCATTATATTTCTTGGATTCTTATTAGCTGCTTACAACCATATATGTATTAAAGTGTAGCAGTGAGATATGATATAACAAGAGTTCATCAACATTGATGACAGAAAGAATAAAAATAAAAATGATTATCAATAATAAATGCATATATTAATCTGTACATGAACAGGTGTGAACTCATTTGGAGTTACTTGAGTTTCCCTCTTCTGAGTCCATTTACAAATTCAGGTGGTTCTCCGAAGATAGTTAGATTGGGCGTGCTACTGGGAAAATTAACCAACAAACGAGTGAACATCTATTTGTGTGTTGTTTGCTTGAATCTCCCCATTAATGTTTAGGACTGCAATTGATCAGTATGCACATATGCTAATAATAGACTGATAAATTGCAGTCCTGAACATCAATGGGAAGGTTCAAGCAAACAATATTAGGTGAATCTAAGCTTCACCCCAATGCACAAGCAAGTAGCTATCAGGACTCAATAGATAAGTGGATAACGCGATGGCGTTTGAAGCGAACGGTACTGAGTGTGAGTCCTAGAGTGAACATCAACTCTTGGGAAGTAGGTACATCCAGATGACGAGTCCCAAACAGGACATAACGTGCGTCCTGGATTCCACTGCTAACCATCATCCATCTTTGCTTATCTATCTGTGGTTTGGAAAGGGCCAAATGAAAACAATACGTAGTTCCATTCCAGTATACCTCGTTAACAGTGATTATGTGGTAGATAAAAGCAAATTAATTCGAGTTATCTATCGTATACCTTCATTGTATCCTAAAGGTGTACAGTTCTGTCTCTTACATTCACTAGAAGCTATAGGGATTTGAACCTATGACCCTAGTTTATGTGTTCAAAAGGAATTCGTATGAGATCTGTCCTTTCCCTTAGTCAGATGTGACTTAACAAATATTTTATCATTTTTCACTTCCGTTGATATTCTTCAAAACCTAATTCTTTACATACTTATAACGTTATTTTAAGTGTTTTGTGATCATTATTCTAAAGTTTGTTTATCTAAGTTTGACCTACTTTCTATGTTGAACTATTGTATAGAATTGATGTGATATTATTAATACTATCAATTTGCAATTTCTACTTATTATGTGTAGTTATGCAATCTACTTACTTCACTATGATCATTGACTCATAATGAATTGCATTGATTAGTTTTATATCTTCACATAAATATTCATGTATATTAGAGTAAAATTCTGATGATGATCTAATTGAAAACGATATTATTCGCTAATACATGTTATTTTAATTTTAACAATATGAATTCTTAATAATTAAGGAATAGTTGAGTCTCAAAATTTACTGTCTTCAATGGTAATGCAAACAACTTCCTTAGGGTCTTTTAGAGTGAAAATATGACATTTTCTTAAAGATTTAACTTAGTACTTTATATTTACCCATAAAAACGTTTAATTCTCTTACATTTTCGCTTTGTTTTCAAGTTTCTATATGAAAGAGTCAATGACCAATACTTAATAAACATTGAGTTGGATGAAGTTAATACCTTTTCTATTTCGTGTACAACTATTTGAATATATAACATGTTTAATTTGCTGAAGTGACTACTAACAATAAATGGTTTTGAAATGAAAGTGGTGAGACTAAGGTTTGCGGATGAACCAATCAGATTAAAAATAGCGAATCATGGATTTTAGGGTGTAATTCATTTATCTATATGGCTAAATAGTATATTGGCCTTACAGATACAGTCAGTTTAAGATGAAAACCCTAATTCTTACCCTTAAACCTGACTTCTAACTCTAGACACCAAACCTAATATTTCATAATAATTTATATAATGCTCTTTAGACCCTATAAAGTGAGTTTTCTCAAGGCCACTTTAGCGTTGCTTAAAGGTCATTCATAAATTATAGTCTTAACATGAAAGCTAGGACACGAATGACAACGGTCGCTAACTAATAAAGTCTATAAAAATGAATAACTTGAAACTTCAGGTATTCAATCAAAGATTTTATCAAAACATTATTATATATTTATCTCTGAAACATGTGAATCAACTTAAAACAGTAGGTTTGTAAACCGAACTTCGTAATATTCTGTCATCTATGAGTCATCGAATATATATATATTCAAAAATGTCAATGATAAACAAAGTAGAACCAATGGACATTTGTGCATCGTTTCACAACTTCACACCAAACGCACAGTGAGAGAGTAAAAATCAACAGAAAGAAAATAAAAGTAGTCGAGATAATAATGATGAAAAAGCCAAACATGGACAATCTAGATTGAGAACAAAAAACGTTTGTGGGGGAAAGGTGCTATATAATATTAAAAATCAAGTATAAGATAAAGAGAGAGAGAGAGTGAATATGTTTCATGCCATTACGACCATTTCGGTAATACGTCATCTAAAGTCTTCAATCGCTATTTAAGATAATTGAACTGCACCAATCAGAAACCCTCAACCGTAGCTCAATTCAAGTGGTAATCAGTCCATTGATTATTCTAATGTTTTGATTTGGCTAACCATAGTTTTCCTTAAACTATCTCCAATGTCAGTTACTAGTGTATATCTGAGTATAGAAGGGTCAGGCGTGCAAAATATACATCTCAGTGATATAGGACGACGTAATCTCACAGCTTCATTAATCCAACTACTATTGTTACTGTCGTAATTCAGATCTATTTGATCATGTAACACAATCACACATATCAAACCACTTGATCGAGAACCATGTATCAATCACAACAAGAATACACTGATACAAACAAGCAGATAGGATGAAAAAAAAATCACAACAGAAAACAACTCCTTATAGTGGTTTAATGTGAAAGTATCTATCTCAGTTCACTTGCAATCGATATCTCAGCTACCTATCACCCTATACCAAACCTTAGCACTACTTAATTGACGATTTCTACGTTATACCTCAGTTTTGAAGATATCTATGATTGAGTAATGACAGATTACACACATCTTGAAACCTGTGAAGCTAAATTCCACAGTCAATCCATATAAAAAGAAAACTTCATTAATTTTACACCATATGAATGTTAATAGTAGTTGAGTATAATCTGCTCAAGTGAGTATCAAGAATTATATTCATTACAAGTTGCTGATGTCAATTTCAATTTATCGTTTTTTTTCAGCACTTTCAGATACATTTTGTAAATCGTTATTGAATGATTCAAAGTTAAGTCATGATTACATTTTAAAGAAATACTTAATAAGTGAAAGAACAATTGTTTTCTCTATTATTGCTTTCTTTTCAATGGTTGGATAAATGTCAACTGGATGTGAATCCAGTAACTCCATTTATTTATTGTGTCGTCCTTGTAATAATAATAATAGTAATATAGTATTCTAGTTATTTTAAGAAATTATTATCTCGTAATTACAACACACGGGACACTAATAGAAATCAGATCTGTAAACTAATTCCAATTCGATCAATTACACATTAGCTAATACTAAGATTAATACATTGATTTGTAGACATGAAACTTTAAAGTGTTAATCTACTATTGGTTAAAGCGTTTAGTTTGCAATGATCAGATCGCATGCATAACACTTGCTATACATAATTGTACAAACGGCTAATATTATTAATCTTTATTACACAAACCATGTATTTGTCTTCAAACTGAGTATAATAAACTTGTACTTGAGAAGTAAAATATATGAACGTAATATAAGATAAGTAAGTAATCAATTCATCTAATCTACACAACCAATAAAAAATTGAAAAAAAAAACAACAGCCTTACTCTTAAGCGTTCTTCAGCCTCTGTTCCACTTAGGCCAGCATTTTGAACAAGTTTCCAAAAACAAGTATTATATAGATTGTTGATATGACCTTGGATAAATATAAAGAAAATAATTACAGTTAAATTTTCAGTACACAGTATAAGCGTTTAATTATTATGAATAGAATGGTTTATGTGAATTAGATACGTAATGTTTAACAATTTAGGGAACAGGATAAAAAAACTGAGTACACTTTCTTTAAATCCTTAATACACAATAAATAAAAAACGTACGAATTATAAATGTGAGAAAAATATAAACCTTATATTAAACAAAAACGTTACTCGGCTAGTATACTAAAGTCTAAGATGCATTCATTCACTATCTGTCTTGCTTTTTTCGCTGTTATATATGCGTAGAATATAACATTTCCCAGAAAAGATTTTGTATCAGATCTGTGAAATTGCATTGTCAATTGAGATTAGTTTTAGTAAAACATACAAAATCGATCATAGGAATTACAAAACAATCCACTTGAACAGGGCTTCAACCACGCTTTTGTCAGCATACATAAGAATCATGTAAATAGATCACTTAGTGGCAATCAATCTAATATTGGTTTAGTCTTTGGTGCTGTCCATGTTTCAGTATGACCACTAGTCTAAACAACCTGACATAGTGCAGGACTTTAGTTATACCTTAAATGGAGTAGTGGTGACTGATTTTAAGACGCTGACACAAGGGTTTAAATCCAACAAAGGAGCAACAGTTTCTTTTAATAGTGCAGATAAGTGTTTCCGACGACTGCCAACTAGCACAAAACCATGGTCAAAAATTTACTGCTGATTGATTTCAACAACCCGACATTAGAACAAGGAATATATTCAACCAAAACTTAAGCCTAGCTACGTAAATAATGTTTTTTAATCCTAATGTAAACACGATAAAGAGATTAATTTTATCCAACGTTATCGATGTCATACGACTTAATATCTGTTTTGTTGTAAAAAGACAAAATCAGTGAAAAAGTATGCTTCAGTTAATCCATTTGTCTATTTTCTTGACCAACTAATCGCTGTTATACGTTCTAACATTTCAAAATACCACACTTATGTGCTTCCTGACATTTCTGCATTGGTATATTTTGAAGTTGTGGGTATATATATATATATATATATATATATATATATATATATATATATATATATATATATATATATATATGGAAAAACCCAATAATTCATTGATGAAGACCTTAGAAACCGGGAAAGGGCTAAAAACGTCGCGTCCTACCAGCACCCAATAGAGACTTCCCTGAAGCATCTGGAAAAAATAAGGATGATGTGTCACTATTAGACAACGAAAAATCAGATAATTTTATCAGATTAACATCAAAACGAATGTAATTTTCTCTCTAACAACAAAATTTGAGAGTATGAACTTGATCATTAAGAAAAGAATTATGGGTTTGAGTGTTATAAAAATATCTGCTAAATATATCTAAGTGCAAACATTTTTTCTCTTCCAAATGCATGAACATTTAGAATATCCAGCTGTAGCCATGTTCGAATTTGAATTTAGGCTATTAATAGCCTGATTACTAAGGCTAACTGTTTGTAAAATTTTATTCACTGCACAAATGATTGGGTCTGTATCAGTCTTAAAATAATGATAACCGACTATACCAGAATTCAGGTTTCAATATAAACATCGACACTGGGAATTAGATATATTCAGCTGTTAGTCACGAAATATACTTTAAAATCAACTTTATTTACAACATAAACTACAACACACCAACTACTCATCCATCAATATAGATCAAAAGTTAAATGATAAAAAATACCATCTTTTACAACGATCTTCGTAAATAATTGAGGAAGATATGGAATCTCTATAGAATTCCAGGTCAATTCACATTGAATAGGCAAGTTGACACAGGCTTGATCTGTCAACCGATAAGCCAAAGTGTATTAAACAGAATGCAAAAGCAAACCTTCATAATTTAACCACCACTGAACTCAAAAACAATATATAACCATAAATTATTTATTATTACCTATGACTAAACATTATCTATATTTTATCAATAAGTATGAAGACTTTAATATATAAATGACAAATTTGTATTATTTAGCTAGTTGTTCGGTTTATATAAAAACATTGATTTATGAATGAAACAGAAGGAAATCTTAATTTTGCTTGTAAAATGTTCGATGTAATATTATAAATATGAAGTAGAATAAAAATTGTATGGTAACTGGTCTTATTGATTATTCTTGACTTTATATTTTGATATCATGTTTCATGATTATTGAGCGAACAAAAACATTCAGTTTCACGTGCTATATGCGAATGGATCTAGTGTTTGAAAGAGTTATAACTTGTGGCATTTGTTGGGAACTGATGTAACCAGATCAACTAAATTGTTATTGTCTGAAGAGATTAAATACTGTCATGAATTCCATGCCATACAACTGATCAGTGGTTGAACACATTTATACATTATAGTTAAATAACTAATGGTACATTTTTACTGCAATTCCTATCCTTCCACCTATCTTACCGGTTGGTCATTAAATCAAATATATTCTGGCTTGTTCAGCTGATGTTTTTTTTCTCTGAAACTCATTCATCCCATTTTCAGTCCAAATCACTGTTTACTATATATTAATCGGTGTTACATCAGAAATTTTAGAGGATCTGGCTCAAAATATACTATAGCAGAGCAATTCATTTTATTTTTCTTTAAATCTAGGTTTTTTAAGTGTCATTCTAAACGTTTCACTTTTGGTGTCGTTTATTATTTATAAGCTATATTTAGCTTGTAAAGTAGACGTTCATCTCCTCTGTTTCTCATTCTCTTAAATTCCATTTGAATTGATATGTGTAAATCCCATCCACGTTGTATCCTTACTATGATTGACTGACTTTTTCAAAAATAATACTTATAGGATTTGTTAGTATCCAGACTCATTATTCTTTATTGTCTAACTCCCTCCATACTTTACTATTTTGTAAACTCTCAATAAAAAATAACCTTATAATATGGTGCACAAATATGAACACTATTAATAAAAATTAGTTGTTATAGGGAGTTTATTTCCTTATAAATGTAATATTTAGTAATTACTTGCTGCCTTGAACACTGATATTATTATTACAATAACTATCAGAAGTTTACTCCAAATCCACTAGTTTGTTTATGAAAGGATACAAAGAATTAAGTATCAAAATTAAAACAAATATAATTAACAGTATGGTCATATAGATATACACACCTTATCTGAGATATTGACACAAATTTAGCGATATTTATGCAGTAAACTGTCATACACTTAAGTATATTTTTTTATAATCGACAACGGTAATATTATAAGTAAGGTTGATTAGAGAAAAAAACACTCAATACTACATGGCCTTATATTCTTAGAAATTAATGTTAAACTCATGAGTGCATAATACTACTATTAATTGACGCTATCAATAAAACATATATTCAAAAGACTATAGAAATCGACCTTATTTATTATAGTATAAATAAAATCAACTAACTACTTCTTAATATCAGAAGGAGTATTGTGGATATTACAGTACTTTCAATTTTGTGGATTAGTTGAAGTTAGACATTAACACCGATGGATGCCAGCTCAGTGGCATAGTGGTTAAGCGCTCGCGCGCGAGACTGCTAGGTCCTGGGTTCGAATCTCGCGGAGGGCAGGATCACGGATGCGCACTGCTGAGGAGTCCCGCAATAGGACGAAACGGCCGTCCAGTGCTTCCAGGTTTTCCATGGTGGTCTAGCTTCAACTGACCAATGATCTCAAGCATTTAATATTCTGCAGGACTCGCGAAAGACGATAAACTATGTGATGTAACTACACGACTTAATATTGTGGTCAATTGACAAGAAAAGGACTTCAAAATCTAGACTTGAATCACTACTAACTTAACTTTGAAATCTAATCGCTTGCCATAACTAAGTCTATACTTCGTGATACAAGCATTATTCCGAAATGAATATCTTAAATTATGACAAAAACCTATTTATAATTAGCAAAACCAAAATTCAAACTAGTCAAAGTACATTGACCAGAAATACTGAGCAATAGACCAACTAACATATTGCCTCAAACCTCTTGGAAAAGTAATCAATAAAGTTGAGCCTAACTGTACCCCTCATCACTACAAACACATTCGTCTTAATTGCTACACATTGAGGGACAACAGTATATTACATAATTAGTAGATTAAATAATACTACATACATGTACCATTATTTATTTTCACATATTGCATAGTTCATGTTTGAATAAGGTTGAATACAAGACAAATATAGAAAATATCTGCCATATTGAGACGAAAACAGGTATCAATATGCTACCTGAATTATCGAAGTATGAAGAACAATAAGTAAATGAATAAATTTATGTGCGAAGCATTAATGTGAACACCCTGAATTGAGGATTTTTTCAAAGAATAATAAAATCATCCCTGCCAAATAATCTATAGTCGAAAATATGTGTGTGATTCTATGAACAAACAAGCTTCAAAACTACTTAATAACCGAATAGACCAGCATGACGTGAGACACCACTCAGTGATCAATCAAATGTAAATACCTCAGTCCTACAGGTCAGTCGATGCCCAAAAAGCTTGATAGTAACACACGAAACAGTGTAGCTGGGTGGTGCGCGTCTGAAATAGTTCTCTCAAGATTTCCAGTATGCCTAGATGAGGACTTTCAACTAGAACAAAACCTTGATCCAGCGTTCTCGGTTAAGTACCGCAACCACTTAACATTTAGGCTTTCTACTGGCCATTTGGCAGTTCCGCTGAAACATCCACAAAATGTAGTAGGAGTGACAGATAACGTTCTTTATAACGAAAAAAATAATTAGTAAATATCAAACGAAGACAGTGTAGTACTTACAGTGAAATTTTACCGGTGATTTTCTTTTTAAAGACGTATTCTAATAATGCAATGGAAAGACGAAGTTTGTCCAAGTTCATAAGCAATAATGAAAAAATCAAATACAATCCCTGATAATCACTGAACAGTTAAGTATATGTAATCCTTCTTTCTGATATACAGGTTGAAAAAATATCTTAAGGAAACGACTACAGAAATATATTTGCCTGATTACCAAATTGTACTTAAGCTTTAGAGAATATCACAGAAGAGAAATACGTATCATTGTAACATACTTACAGGTACAACAAACAAATTCCTTCAATATCACTTATATATAATTGACTAAGTATGATTTTGCCGTCTGAGAGTTACTGATCATCCACTTAAAAAGTTTACAAATTTTTTCAGTCACATTATTAGCTGCGAGTATTATAAGCTCATAATAAAACTGAGTGTTCAGATAAATGAGTTTTATGAGTTGGTTTTATTTTGACACTGTTTTCAACAAAATTAATAATTATTGTTTTCATCCACGACCGAGGTATACAAATATCAATCTTAACAGTACCATTGTAGTATATGCTACTTATGTTGATAGATATAAGTAGTATGTAACACCAATCAGAAGTGGAATGCAAGGCAGCAGAAGATTGAGAAGATCGAATCGAAAAGAACAGGAAGAGAAACAGAGAGCAATTGTAATAACAACAGAATTGAAGGAATCATGAAGCATGTAAAAGACAACTGAAGGAAGATGTGCAAATAATGTATTTAATGTATGGTTTTCATATTTTGAAAAATCACTCTGTAACTTTGCAATAAACAATAAATTGGTCTTCCTCACCTGAGTGTTCGTTTACTACACCATTATCACTATTTTTGAAAACCAACAAAAATGCACTTTAGTAATTAATAGTCAGAATACGGTATAGGATTCTTTGCATAAGTTTCTAGTAGATAAAATTCATTCTTATAAACTGAGAAACAAATACATATATATGTACACACTTGTATTGTGTAGTGATCATAATGAGTTTCTTACAGAATGAAAATAAAAAAGTAATTTTTTCTCTCAAATGGACCATTAAGAAGTATTTCAGAGCACTGTAGTAGAAAAAATGTATTGTATTATTATCACACCACAAATACCTTGTTACGTAAAGATTTTTTTTTGTATTTTAATGAATCCTTTAAAAATAGTAGTAAATATGAACAGATAGTTTCAGTGTACATTAGCAGGTCTGATAAATGACAAAGAATATTTATGTGTATATCTCAAAGTACATTCAAAATAGATATAATGCATTTAAATGGCATAATAATGACTGAAAAACATTTTTAACAGACTAAGAAATGAATTAAATACACTACTTGATTACTAAATAGTAACTAATGCCATACAATCTAGTCCTTAATGATACTTAAGATATAATATGATCATCACTGATCTAAGTGACTCATATTGTAGTAAACTATGTTTGATGTTGAATTAAAAAATCTTAAAGTACTTTATTCCCATTAAGATTGCAAACAAGTGTCGATTAGAAATTCCTATAGATCCCAACCCACCATCAGACATCAAACACAGTTCACCGTAATATTGAGTCATTACCACTGATTTCCATTTGTCGAAATGATTGACAAAACCTGAATAACACTAACGATGTGAGGCAATGGAAGACAGTCGTCCTATACCGTAGACTGTTGAGAGTTAGACATTGACACCATTGGGTGCCGGCTAAGTGGTATAGAGGTTAGGTGTTTTCGTGAGAGGCTGACGGTTATGGGTCCGAATCCCGCGTGCGGGGTCGTGGATGCGCATTGATGAACTGAGAAGTCCCATAATAAGACGAAGCGGTTATCCAATGCTTCCAGGTTTTCAATGGTGATCTAACTTCGATCACTTCATGATATATATATGAGTTAGACTGACTATATTATTCATAATAGTTTATGTTAACATTTATGCTATTAATTGTGTTCGTTAAATGCCTAATGACTGTTTAGATTAGTTGTCTGAAAACAAATTCTATTGTAACTATTATTTAAATCAAATTAATACAGATTATATATTTAATCATTGTAACAGTGTGTATGTAATGATAACAACAGTAAAAGAAGCTTATCATTATCAACTCGCGGTTTATTTGCACTTTTATGGCTGAGTGCGATTTTTTTCATCTCCCCATTAATAAAACTAGATTTGCTAGCCAGTCAAGTAACACGAACTCTAGTGTGAAAAATGCACTTGAACAATGTACCAAACCTGTAAGTGCGAAACCAATGTTTCCGGTATATTTGTTTATCACTATAAATGGTAACATATAGACAATGCTAACCTTTCTATTACGAATTTTCTTATAATTGTGAAAAGACATCATTCAATTTACGTGAGACAAACAAACAGTAACATGTTAACCAGAAAGTCTGGTGATTCTAGGTCCCAAATCATTAGGAGGAGAAAGAATTATTTTATAATTACTAGTTTCCAGAGTTTATTTTAACTAATCACAGTTCGAAATATGAATCATATATAGGCATTTTTATCTATTTCGTTTAGGCCGATGGTGTTTTGTGGATATTGATATGTAGTTTATTTCTTTATTTAAACGTATAAACCTTGATACAAGGTGGCACCAAATTTATATGCGCCACAGTTCATTATTCGATTTGTGTGAGGGCTGGAATACTGAACTAGTGCCCCGAGCCTTTGACCTAAAGGTCCGATCCATAAGGCAGTGGAGCAACGTTACGAAACGCAATCCCATGGTACCTAGTGATCAACAATAGGTTCATCCACCATTTGTTCCTCAGGATCCAGGAGCTCATATGCACCATTAATTTGGAATCAGGGTTTTCCAAATACCCTAGGTGGATCTTGCATACCCACCAAACCAGTTGAAGCGCCAGACATTCGCATTCTGTCCTCTCAATTAAGTGAAAACACCTCTGCCGCGAGAAGGCAGTGAGCAGAACCTACCTGGGATTGGTTGTATACGCGTGGCCATGTGCGAGCAGTTCGGGAGGGAGAGCTGACCCTTCCCGGCCTCCGGTGTACCAAGGCATTTTGGGCATTGATACGCAGTAATTTGTGGACAAGAAAACTGATTATGACTTCCAGCATCACACACAAATTCACTCAAAAAATTAATTCTATTTCGCTTTATCATAAGAGACAGAAAAAATAAACTGATAATTATTTCATCCCAAGATTTTGAGGGTTTTGTAACTAGGTGAAATTTCGTCATTTTTTTACTAGCACCTTCGAGAGAAAATTAAGGGAGTTTTAGTAAGAACTTTTCACTAGTGCGCAGTTCAATATTGTGGAGTGTGAGGAACGTACCCACCGAAGACAATGGAAGGTGGTCACAAAATAACGTTGACTGACAGAAGTTAGACATCTACACGATTTGATTGCGGTTCAGTGGTCATAAGATTGAGTACTCACACATATGACCAAGGGTTTTGGTTTCGATTCCCAGTTGTGGGGTCACGGATCCTTATTGATGGAGTCCCATAATAAGGTAAAACAGTTATCCTGGGTCTCTTAGTTTTTAGTGATTGTCTAACTTAGGTCGGTTTGTAATTTTAACAAGATTCTCTGACTGTTCTCTTTGGAACTCTTTTATCTTCTACAATGTCTGGTCAAATCAAAATAAAACGCGATACAGTAGTTCACATAAAATATGATTATACTAATAAACGTAAATTAATTACTCTGAAATAGAATGAAATTAGTTATTACATTTCATAAGGCTTAAATACAAAAAATACACATTGTAAACTTACAATCAACCTGACGCCAACTTAAATAATCCCTGAGAGTTTTATTCGTTGGATAAAGTATTACTCGGGAATCAAACGCTGGCGGATACAGTAATGGAGTATCAGGAAAATACTTTGGCCATTCAAAAACATATGAAGATGTGAACAACGAAACAACTGTACTGGATATTTTGCTAAAATATATATATTTATATGAAGAGCACACAAAATAAAGGAATTAAAGTATGGATGGAATTGATGTAACGATAATAAATACAGAATCTTAAAAAATAAAAACAAAGCGAAAATTACCAAATGAATAAATGATAGGCATTTGGTCTTATATAGAGCAGATAGGTAGTTCTGAATGAAAAGATAAACAACTAATCGATGCATCTACATCAGTGGGGCTGGCTTTGAACTGTGTCAATTTTAATCATTAGTTTAAGTTATTTTTTAAAACCCCAATGAAGCATCCTACAGTTTATAATGCATTAAAAATGACTGTTCATTATTATTTTCATGGTCTGAAACTAACTAGGGAATCACTGAAAACCTGAGAGCACTGCTCAGTATTTTAGTCCTTACCCGAGGACCCCTCACCAGTACACACCAAAACTTGAAGGATTAGCTGCAATTGTGATAAGAATAAGTCACTGAGCCGGAATCTAATAGGCCAAATTGTCAGTCGGTCAGTTTACAATAAAGTGATAGCATTATTTAATGAAATTGGTGATATCTGCCTCAGTCCCAATGCAGTTGAACTTCATCAGTTAGGATATTCTATTCAAACTTTTGGAATCCATCAAGTGAGTCACGACATGATATACACATATAGTAAAGCTAGATAGTCTGTGGAGATAAGTTCAGTTCGACAGTAGTCTTCATTAAGGAATAATATCATTTGGAAAATCATGGAAAAATAACTAGCCAAACAGTAAACGACTTTGTTGTTTAGTGATATTTTTGAAATCTTATATATTACACAATGCATACATACGTTCTTATTAGTTAAGCTGATGAAAGCTAAGGAATTAATCAACTTATTTAATACCTATATAAAGAAAACTTTATCTAACCTCAAGAGTACTCACAAAATACCTTCCCTATACAATCTTTCCTTACAAGATAATAATGACAAATTACTTGTTTACGGATAATATTTGAGCATGTAAAACATTGATAACTGTACTGCATCACAAACAGGAGGGTTATAGTTTCGGATTTATGGAATGTTTTGAGGGAGATAACTGCTCAGATATAAATTATCTTTATCACCTATTTTGGTAACTTGATATTAAGAGAAAATGTTTCCAAACAATGTAAATGTACAACTGGGAAATATAAATAGAAATAACTTTCATTCTTTCAACTACCCAACTTGAGGAGAGACATTACATCTTGGCAAAAAAGCTTTATTTAAAGGTTAGAATTATCAGTATATTGAAGACGGGTTTACTGGAAAATTATGATTTATTCAGACAACATGATGAGTAGGACAGTTTAGGAAATGGTGCAACTGGCTTTTAATTAGCCGTAGGTATACGTTCGACTTTAGCCATATCCAATGATCTGAAGTCAGTATTCGGATGTGAGGCCTTATTGTATTATCTATCATTGAAAAGGATGGCAAAAAGGTACATAGACTAAGGAAGACTCTTCATTCAGGTGCCATGGATAAATTCAAAGCTTATATTGGGTCGGTTAAACCAAGTAGAATTCTTTATAGCTCCTTAAATTTCCCACGGGGTGGGACCAGTTCATGAAGTCATTGCCTACTGTTATCAGTCATGTCACGAAGCTAAGACATTTTAGCTAGGGATTTCGAGTGAGATTGATAGGAAGCGATCGCAGTGACAAAGGTTTCAAGTTTCAATATCATTTTATACATATATTCCTCCATTTCAAACGATCTTTTCTAGAAATATTCTCTACATGGTAATCAAAAACGCTTCTATTACTTTCGGTAATGTAATTAGCAGACGAAGATTATCAGAACTATGTGATATATTAGCGCAATACATTTCGAACAATCCGATCACACATATACTTGTTAAGAGCATTCAACTATTACTACCATTCCGCTGCTATGTATTATTTTCATCCTATTAAACTGATGTGGCAACATGAAACAATGAACAATCACGTGCTGTATTAAAAATCACTGACTTGATTGACTGAGCTTCATTTAGGTCATTTTAAGCATAATAATTTTCAACATCATGCAATGAATTCGTAAAAGGTTGTTATCAAATAGAAAAGACAATTCATACTACTATTATCAGTCATGCTTTAACAATTTTCTTTATTTTTATGCTTCATTACTTTTAAACTTTGGTGATATAGTAATCAAGGTTGATCACTATGAGTATCATCACTTACAGCTCTGATCTTAAATACCTCATATAGATAATAATCACTGAACGTGCACACACACACACACACGAAATGAGTAGTCTTAAAATGTAGGTAATAATATCAGACTATTAGTTTTTCTAATTATTTGGTGGATAAATGAATTTGGCTACACAACGGTAATTATCAACCTTATTAGTTTTCTTATAGACGAATGTATGTGAATGGGTGTATGACTTCTTAATCAATACACACATCTTCACTTTACGATAATGCTGCTTTTTTGCGAAGAAATGAATTTACAGCAGTATAGGACTCCTCTACAGTGGGCATCAAGTTCACAACTCTCAAACATTGTGACAAGAAAGTTACTTTCAGTCATTAAAATTAGAATTTTTTTAGTACTTATAAGGGAAGATTTAGTCAAATTGTACTTCCCGGTAAACTTCACTAACATTTAGCTAATTATATTACGCCAAAAAATCTCACCATAATGAAAAGTTGTCATTTAGAGGAGAAGTTCTCAAAATACTTATGTGAATTTATGATTTGAACAAGAAACAAGAAATATACATGATGACAAAATGTATCAACTGATTAAACTAATAATATGAATAATCTAAGCATTTACGACACAAGATTGAATTCACATGAAAATGTCATTGATATTCATTGTATATGAGCATTAGTGAAACAAAAAATAACTACTTTGTCCTTGAATAACATACGATGGTGGAAATATATTGATTGAGTAACTATACTTTTACATCACCTTTTATGTGTAAACAAAAAAAGGTCACTTGTTTCTAAGTATAACTTTAGTAAATACTTTTACGGTAATTATAAGCAGAGATGGATAGTGGTCAGGACGCGTGTTTCATTTATATATATATATATATATATATATATATATAGTTCGTTCGCGAAACTGATAAAATATTATATGACAGGTTTAAACTTAGTTTAAATAAAGTTTTGCATAGATTTTGGTCCGAGAGTAATGTATAGTGGGCTAATAGACTTAAATTAATTAAACATTTGTTTGTTCTTAATGTTTTTGTTCAGACAGTAGAACCTCATTACCAGATACAGATTCGTGTACTTGACTTTGAATGAAAGTTTAGGTATGAGGGCTAGTGATACTATCTGGTTCCCCAGACTGAAGTAAAAGAAGGTTTCGAACCTGAGACGTAGTGGTTAAAAGTCGAGCACCTTAACCTCTGAAAAACCTCCTCACATATGTGAGAAGTATATAATAATAATAATAATAATAATAATAATAATAATAATAACAATAATAATAATAACAATAATAATAATAATAACAATAATAACAACAATAATAATAATAATAGTAATAATAATAATAGTAATAATAATAATAATAGTAATAATAATAATAGTAATAATAATAATAGTAATAGTAATAATAATAATAATAATAATAATAATAATAATAATGGTATTGATCTTCCACTGATCTCTGTTTGAGTCGGGTGTATTGTATTAATAAAATGTGTTTGCAGTTATACCCATTCAAAATCCTCATAATCTCAAATACTATATATCGCGGAAAATGCTCAAATAAAATATCTGTAGATAAAATAAATCCTACAGATTCATCTATTAACATTATATGAAATGGGATACAGTGAGAAGATATAAAATGAAATACAAAACAGTTAATCTATACGATAAAGCCAATCATAAAATCTACCCTAGTTATATTGACTTTAATTTTGATGTTATAAACAGTATATATGATGTGACTCTTTTTCTTAAACCCTTGTTGATTCTTAATTTTAATTTGGACATATTTTAGTAAAAGTATAGTCTATGGGAATGAACAAAAAAGCAACCGTGACAAATTTTCAGCCAGTTCTTAGCCAATTAGAAAACAGACTTTGTAAGTAGATAGTTTATAAAAGAGAAAAATCTGTTGAAAAATAAATGAAGTAAACAATAGAATAACATTGTTCACTATACTCAAAACACATCGCCAAACTTCAGTATTTCTATTGAATAAAACAAGTACTGTATAAAGTTATATTTAAATATTCTCAATAAGATACTTCAAAAAGCGAAGTTATGTATGCACAATGTTTTACAGTTAAACAGACATTCTGACAGAACCAAAATCTATACAGTTTGGAATTTCATTCTGTTTTTAGCTGTATGGGTGTTGAATTAATCCTCAACACTCTGGTTGATAAATACATTACCGTTCCAGCTATCACCAATAGTTCATCAGCATAATTGAGCGCAAGCACATATTCTAGAGTATCTTTGAAAATTACACTGGGATAGTATGCCATACTTTCGAATACTAATGGTCAACTAATTGGGAAATAGATTTGACCACATTCATATATGTCAAGTTAATTAATAAACTATCACAGGCTAGTCACACAACTCAAAGGCAAACATAAATATAGGAATTTGTAGAACCAATTAACAAGACAACAATTATCTTACCTTGCTCGTCGATTAAACACTTCAGTACATTTTTTAAATACGAAACTAAACTCATCTGATTGACCATAAGCTAGAACAATTTCTTTCTGTCGTTGCATAACACGTTCTGCTGCACGTACTGACAACGATAAACCACGTGTATCATTTGGTTTGATAAAATTATGCTTTGCTGTAAATTTATGAAAACCTTGTCCATCTAAACGAACAACAATCCATGTGGAAGGAAGACAGGGATCCATAATTTCGAAATTTCGAACATATTCGTAAATACTTTTGGCCATTACTAAAAGGGTACAGTGAAAACCAGATGAAAATATATCAAGTTCTTTAGCCAAATTTAACTTATATCTATATAATATTGTTCAAAAAATGCACGGAACAACTACTATATGAAAATACCTAGAATGTGAGAAGATAACACAAAGTAATTTCATGATATTCACAGCTTTCATGCTGATCGAATGAATGTTACATCTAACGAATAAATTAATTACAGATTTATGTATTGGGCTCTGATTTACATTTACGGTATAAGGACTAATGAAATTAACCAGCTGCTTAAACAGAACTAGGGGAACGGGATACGAACCTGAGATCTTTTTATTGAAAGCCGAGTGCAATAACATTAAATAACAGCCGAACATAGCTCGTATTTAAGTGTTTAAAGGAACTTAGAAGAAAAAACTGTTTAATTCAGTACAAACTTCAAATATTTGAGTCAACTAGAGATTGATAGTTCATACAATGACCAATTCATGTAAATAATTCAATTAAACACTAATGTGATAAACTTATGGAAGAATCCACCATTAAGACGTGCTAAAAATGATGGAAAACCAGTAAAGATAAAACAGTCGGAAACAAAATTATCAGGATAGATTGACTGGATACTTATAAAGTAATGAAAAATGTTCACTTAAACTGGAACTAAACGCTGATGAAAATTTCGTAATTAAGACATCCATCTCAGAAAACTCATTTCTACCGAAGATACCCTTGAAGAACAAAACTTAAACTGAAAGTGAGAGACCAAATTTCTTGAATTCTAAGTACTATTTAACTGCTCATAACCAACAGGGAATAAATCAAACTCAAAAATCTAACACCAGTCACAAATATATAAAAAAAATAAACAGAGTTGATTAAATAAGAAATATGACTATCAAATAAAAACAATCACATATTTTTTTAGTGTAATAGAAAGTAATACATTATTGTTCTGATGATAAATATCAAAATGTCAACTATAGTTATATATTTTATACGAATATTTGTCAAGATTAGAACGAATAGTTTGACAGAAATTGGGCGCCAAGTAAAAAATAGTCATTATATATATTTTAAAACTGCTAACTTACAAATACAATATACCATTTTAAACTGCCTGTTGAGTAAAAACAGTAAAAATTCTCAAATAATGAATAGTTAGGAATGAAAATGAAAGGGATCAGAACATAAGAAGTCAAAAAATTAATATCAACAAATTTAATCATCCAATAATTATTATTTATTTATTTAAACACATAAACATTGGTACAAGGAGGCACCAAATAGATATGCGCCACATAAATCATTCGATTTGCGTGAGGACTGGAATACTGCCCGGGTGCCCAGACCGAAACAGGTGATTTTCTTAGGGGGCCACACGCTGAGCCTTCGACCTAAAGGTCTGACTCACAAGGCAATGGAGCATCGTGAGGAGATGCAGTCCCATGGAAGCCGGTGACCAACGATTAGTTCATACGCCATTTGTTCCCATAGGATACTGGAGCCAATGTGCACCATTGGTTTGGAATCCGGTTAAAGCGCCGGACACTCGCTTTTCGTCCTCTCAACTTCGTAAACAACACCCCCACCACGAGGAGACAGTGAGTAGGACTTCCCTGACAGAGGCTGTATATGCGTGGCCGTGTGAGAGCATCTCGAGAGGGAGGGCGGGACCACCCCACTCTCGGTCATACTAAGGCATTTGGGGGCAATCCAATAATTACTTGTTTACAAAGTGGACAATAGATATGTTATGTTACAAAATAGTACAAATTATTCATCTTATAAATAAATTCAATTGTTTAAAAGATAGTTAGTTGTAAATGAGAGAAAAACTTTGACAGTACATTTTTCAATTAATGATTATCTTTAATTTCTTTTTCCAGGAGAAACATATCATATGATGCAATTTAAATTGAAATAAATACAAATGAATGGTAAGCTTTTCATAATAAAATAGAAAACCGAATTTTCGAACTGACATGGTATTCGAAAATACACATAATAATAATAATAATAATAATAATAATAATAATAATAATAATAATAATAATAATAATAATAATAATAATAATAATAATAATAATAATAATAATAATAATAATAATAATAATAGTGGTAGTAGTGGTAATAGTAGTAATAGTAATAATAATAATAATAATAATAATAATAATAATAATAATAATAATAATAATAATAATGGCGAAAACCTAAAAACACAGATTATATGTGCATGTGTACATAAACAATGTTGGAACTAAGGTACAATGACAAACAATAGATATTGATGTTTTATCTCCAAATATAAACTTTATTAGGCTACTGCAATCACGTTTAAAGAAGGATTTTGTTTTTTTTAATTATTTACATTCAGAATTACTTGGACTAAACTGTCCGATTACTTTCTTTTCTTTGTAGCTGGTGTTTAATTTTAGTTATTAGACCATAAGAATGTAACAACTACTATTAGAAATAAGTTAAAGCAATGAATAACCACCTATTTGTAAGAGTTTGTATTTTCCGTTTCAACAATAAAGAAAAAAAATTGTACCCTTTGTATAAGCTAGTAACTATATGGGCTCAGTAACTCAGTGGACAACACCTTAGGTGCTTAAACCAAAAGTACTAGATTCGAATTTCAACATGAAAATCAGTACTGGGATGCAAGTAAATAAACTTAACGATTCATGAATAGCGGAAAACACGATTCCTAGATTCTATTATCAGCCATTATCCAACTGTTAAAAAAACGAATAACTAATTTTGTCAAACTCCTTAAAAGCACACTCCTATATTCTTTACAGTTTCGTACAATTGATAACATTAACTAGTGGCTAACTAAAGTAACAAGAATGTTCACATATACTAACGAGCCGTAAATAACGACAAAAAAGAGGAAGACCAAAGGACACATTGCGCTGCGAACTGGAAAGGATTTCTTAGGACAGTTGCACGGAGAATGCTGGTGGGTGGCCTATGCTCTTCCACGAATGGTAACAGGTGTCAGCAAGTAAATTTTCATTATGGCTATTAAAGATTACAGTTAGATGCCGTTTTATGGATCCAATGAATTTCATTAAAGAATTTCCGCATTTACATGCTGGTTCAAAAGGGTGTGATAGTACAACTGATCTGTATAGTATATACAATGGCTAATATATTTATAGTCGTTTAACCGATTGTACGTATACTAACTACCTATAATTTAAATATATCGTTCATTTATACGCATCTTCCAATCCAAACTACTAGCAGAGTGGAGATGTGGTGGTTAAACTAGTCGACTTCCAATCATTACATACCATTTACTTTGACATTGCCACTGACAGACAGTACATGACCGGGTCTCAAACAAAAACACATGGTTCAAAGATGAGTCAATAAACTTGTAATATCAATTTATAAAACCTAGACTACTAGTTTACTTCTAGGTAACAAGTACAATGTAAAAATAAAATCGAATCCTAACTCATTAGTAAGAATGCGTTTCAATGAACTTAAATAATCAAAAATAGCATGATGGAGTAGGCCATAGAGATGCATTTGAAATCGTCAATCATAAATGATTTACGAGTATCACACTATGCACATTACAAATGAATGGCGTATAGTGAAAAGACGAATGTTTTTCCTACCAGTTTATTTGTGGTTGCTAGATTAAATATTTAAATACTACCATGCGTCGAAATAGCTGAGCGAAATTAGCAATCATAAAGCCACCACTTTCGAGGTTTCTATTTCATGAAACTATATAATATGCATGCGATTTACGAAATGTTTATCCACAAAAACATGACTTTTTAAAAAGTTGTTTTTACTCTTACCAATCACGTTGTTCTTTTATTTAAAACTTCCGGTCTTCTTTCTAATACACTACGATTGTCTGCTTTACAAAGAACTTGTTTTGTAAAGAATTTAAAACTATCTCCTTAATTGCGTCTGGTGTTAAGCCCTAAGTTGTGAGGATCGACACTCTCATTCTCTCCTATGCATAATATTACTGTAAGAAATTAATTTCTCCTACAATTCTTTCTTGATTTTTCAACCTAGAAAAATCACAACTAGAAAGTAATTCCATGGCATCATGGTTTCCCAAATTACTATTTAATTTTTCAACTATGATCAGATCAGTGTTATTCTAAGTAAGAAACGAACTAGAACACGTAGAATGACATAAAAAATGATTCTTAATAATTCAACAATATGAGGTAAGATTGTTAAGTACATTCTTCACATAGATTGACTGCAATGCCTCATAGGTGGTATAAGACAACTGTCAGATATGCATTGGATTTCAGTGTTGGTATTCCGTTGGTTTCCATTGGAAGTGGTTTAATTAAATTAACCCACATTATAAAGTAATAGAAGTTGTACTAAACGAGTATTAAGAATAAGAAGTATCAAGAATCGTTACTAAGGCAGAAAACTTTTTTCAAACTGAGGTCAGTCTCAACTACAGACTAAGATCAGCTAGAGTTTCAGTTAAAATCAAATAGAACTAGACAGGTGCCTGGTGTTTATCAACTGCCACTCTTTCATATTCGTCACTGCTACCAATTCATAGCTATATTACCTAAAGTCACTTAAAGTTACGAACTAACAATACCCGTCATTTTGTGGATTCAAGTGAAAAATTTAACACTATCCCTTACGGATAAAATCAAAAAGCATACAAAAAATCACAGCACATAAAATATGAATGAGCTATCTCAAACAATGTCGATCAATAACTCCGAGTTCAAAGAATCATATAACACTGCTCATTAATTATGTACTTAACAAAAAACTAACAGATTCTTCAATAGATTGAGTTACTCTAACGGACTTCCAGGCTTAACAGTAGTTTTAAGCGGTTTATAAATAGAGAATATGTTCTGCAAAACTGATCATTGGCATATCGGAAGAAACAACCACTTTTTAATTTGAACAATATATCCGTTTACACTTCAATAATTGGTATAAATTGACAAAACTCAGTCAATGAACCCGAAACTTTGATATTAGATTGAGGGTCAGTTTCAGTGCACTTACAAAAAACGTTTATTTACAACCTAATGTATATATATATTCATAATTACATTTAAGACAGGTTAACTTGTAACCATATTGATAATGTTCTGCGCTGATACAACTGATGATTAGTTATTTGTAGATATAAATGCAGGTAGCGAAAGAAACAAAACAAATTATTAATAATTCTATCTATTTAGCCACAATAAGTTTTCACTTCATACTAAAACTAAGATAAGTGTATGAAACAAACAAATCTACTGAAAAACTTTTGTCACCGAAAATTACTGATCTATCCATTTAAATTACTTTCGCCTCGAATGTACTATAAGTTCGTAAGTCAAATGAACATAATTTCGGATGAACATAGTACAAAATGATAACAGAAACAAATCACATCTCAATCGCTACCGTCTCAAATGGAAAATACAATATTTTGATAAGATATTTATTGAAGCAACAATAACAAGGAGCAGTCTATGAAAATAACGCGATCACAAAAAAAAGATCCAGTGGTGATGACAGTTATTAGTATGAGAGCAACAAGACAAATAAGAAGTGATTTGGTCTATAAAATAGTGCCACAAAAAAAACGTGTTTCAGTTCATTGTTTAACTTAGTGTTTGAGGAGTGACGAACACAATAGCATAGATCAAAGCAACACAACAGAAAATCGGTCAAAATAAGGGGATAATGACAAAACATGAGAACTTGAGTATTTACTCCAATGCATTCATGAGCAAGTGAGTGTGTTACGGTGATGATAACAGAATAATGTGTTTATCACAAATATTAAAAAAACGAAAATATTCTCAAATAATTTGCAGATATTAGGCATCCATTGGGCCTTTTTCGGATGATTTCTCACATTTTATCACATCTTCGTACAATGGGACCTTCACATTCATTGCTTCAACATACGTTGGTAAACGAGTATACTGGAAAGAAAGAAAACACGTCATGTACTTACAAATATATGGTAATCATATGCAACTGTATTAAAAATAAAATATAAGCATAGATGGGTGATGTCTAGCAACCGAATCCAGGACGCACGTTTCGTCTGGTGTGGGACTCTTCAACCGAATGTACCCGCATTCCAAAGTTCTTCACTCCGGGACTTGAACTCGGTGCTGTTCACTAAAATTGCCACTGCGTTTTCCACTCAGCTACTGAGTCCGAATAGCCACTGGTTTATACAACAGAGTGGAGAGAGTGATCAATTGTAGTTCAAATTATCAATGAGAAGATTCGAACAATTAATACAAATATATTATTAATTTATAACAATCTACCCAGTGCTCAATTTATTCGAAATTATCAAGTCAAACCATAGCAACGATACCTACAAATTAATACAAATGAGTTGAAAATAAGATATTTCTTAATATATCATTTCAGAATGCAAAACACTTTCACTAGGATCTATAAAAACCAGTGAACATAGGTGGGAGATTGACCGATAAATAAAATAAAACTCAAGTGACTTTCTTAATGTATCCACAAATTTATTTTTCCAGAGAATATCGAACTTTATGTCAGCGAATTTAGGTACAAGGAGTCATGGTAATCTCACGCTGATATCCAGCAAAAAGATTTGGAGAAAATGATGGATTCTTGACAACAAAAGTTAACACTACAAAGAGATTTTGACCGAAGGTAAATAAAAAACAAATTTTATCTACGGTTATTACTGACTTAACATAAAAATATGGTACAATGAAATACTAATGCCCCAAAGAAAATAGAGTAACGATTGTAGAAAATGAGAGAGAATCATAAAATAATAGCACGAGAATACTTTACATCCAAACACAGTCAAGATAAATTTCATTTTGCTTAAAGTGGATTTGTATTTATGTTGGACAAAAAATAAAACACCAGTAAATGGACACTGGTTTCGATGCTGAATCATCAAATATAACTACTGGAATTAATAAACTGGAAAATGTAGACTTTATTCACGTAGTAATGATAATCTAGTCTAGTTGTTGCCAAATGGACTACCTTTAATCTTTAAATGATGAATCCCAAACTGTTGGTGAATTGTTTCTGGTACAAAGTCACTGGGTCACCAAACAGTGCTCGGTATACAAACCACCGAAATTGAGTGGTTAAGACATGTTCAAGTCACGGAGACTGATGCTTTACGATTATATGATTGACTTAATAACAGTTTTTACACCACATCAAGACATAAAGTTGCTAGACGATAGCACTATCAACACGACATTGCGACCGAAATAATAACGACTGGTAACAAAGCCGAAAGATATTTCATGTTCGGAAAATTGATTCACAAGTATAAAGCTCTAGAGTTTGATAACTAACATTTCATAACTAAAACGTCATGACGGCACCAGAAGTTGAAACTGGCATGGAACGTTTTGTTTTTCAACTATGAAAGCTAATCTTACACATACTATAACATTATTCTCACGTCCAACAAAACTGTACTACAACAAATTATAGTAGGAAACAAGTGAATATTGTACAACTACATCGAATATTAACTACCATGGCTTCAGTTATGACCACTTCGATGTAATTAACGAAAACATAACACAATATAAACCTTCATAAATGCTAGTGAGCAAGTTATTGGCGCCTTCATAACTTAGATATACACGATTTTCTGAATAAACTATTTGAACGAATTCTCCGAGCGTTACAACTGATCCGAATCGACGTAAGCTACTGGTATGCAATACTCGTATAATCGAAAACCATGACTATATGATTCCTATTTGGTTAGGAAAATATGACCACATGAATATTCTATTTGTAATACATTCCAGTTAACTTTTAATTACAACACTTATAACAGAACTTAAAAAATCGACAGCGTAGTCGCCTTGTTTCAAATACTTTTGAATATTTGATCAAATTCTTAGCGATTGTTCAGTTTGTCGGATTAGATATTCATTAATTGGTTAAAAAAATTCTGTAAACTCCCTTGAAGTTCGAAAATATTAAGCTATCATTTCTAATTGGTTTGCTTTTTTGGTACGCCTATAAATCTTTGTATTTTGACTTCTGATCTAGCCTTGTCAATGATAGATTGTTCAATAAGAAATACAAAATAATTTGAAACTATTTACTTTTGAAGACAGGTTTAATTGAGGTACCTTATGGCTTGTTACGGCTGCATAATGAATATTTCGCTCTTGAATGTCACACCAACACGATGTAGAAGTAATCTACATACTTAAAATCTAGTATTATGAAGGTCGATAAATAAGTCCTCTTACATTCGTATGGGACAAAGCTCAAAGTTGACCATTAATTTTATTAGAATATGCTGATTTGAAGTTTTTCTTAGTGCCTTATTTTGTTAACCAAAATGAGCTTCCCTTTTATCGTAGACCAACAAAATTATCGAACACCAATTTTGCATAACTTTCTGATATCCTTGATTAAACAAACTGGCTATCTCGTACAGTAATTCACTGTCAAGGTTTGCATGACTTACCTCTATGTGCCGATGTTCACGAACACGACAAGCTTGAATAGTTAACTTCACCATTAATAACAATATCACAATCAACAATGCGATAAGCAATGGTAATAAAAGTGGTCGAAACATAATATGACGGAAGAAGTAAGTAGCTTTTCTAACAAATGTAGGTTGGTGTTCATAAAAGGTTGATTCACCATCATCGCCGACAGTATGTATACGAATAACATTCTTATCATTATTTTTTACAGCTTTGAAATAAGCATCATCATCTTGTGGAATAATTTCACGCAAACTAAGGAGTGGTTTTATATTGAATGGTGAATCCAGTGGATTTTCATGTGCGTCATCTAAGAAATGAAAAAAGAACGAGCACTTTTCAAAAACAATGTGTCGCATACATTTCTTCTGACTATTAAGCAAAAATATTACATTTGTATAAATCTGCCCCAAAGGATTGCATCGATAGGTGGGAAATTTGTTCGGAAAAAACTAACACATTAAGAAATCAAACTTTTATATATAAACGTGATGCATGATACACGAAACTTGACACTAATAAACTGGTTGATGTCAAAGTTCAAAACAACACAACATACCATACCTAAATTGAAACCAATAGCTTACAGTCCGACATCTCGCTGATGATCTTTTTTGGTTTAATTATCAGGTGGTTTGTTCCATGTTATAACTACATTTGCTTGAGTAAGTACAATGTAAACAAACACATAAAACATCTACCGACCTAGTGAGGGAGATTACATATTAGATCGAGCGATATTAAACTGACCTTAACGTTATTTCCCCCACCAGTTCACAGGAGATAGCTAACTCCAACAATATTTGAGTAAATAATAAGTTTCTACACTTCTATGATCTGTCTTATACTGACAAGCGATATGACACATGTTCTTTGACAAAATGGAATGCAGTGTTCAGATAATGAAATATAGCAACCGCTTCCATCCAACTGGTACATACTGACCAAGTACTCTGGGTAGGTTATCGACTGTCGAAAAGCAGGAATAGGTAATTTAGGAATAACTAATTTCAACTTATATCATAGTTGTGCATAAATCTCTTACACAAATTTTATCTTAACCGTTTTAGGGGGTTGAAAAGGTCGGAATGGTAGTGGTAGCTAAAAAACGTAGACAACCAGTCAGCATGTCCGAATAATGGTGAAAAGAAGTTAAAAGCATAATACAATCTAAATCTGAAGCTGATAACAAACATTGCTTAAAACTTACATGGAGCGAAGTTATGGAAAATGCGAACGCGTGATATGATCACATGATTACCGGAATCTGAATCAGTGTCGCTCTCTACCTTATTAGCTTTGGTATCCACACTGGCTCCCGAACCTAAAGGAAAAGAAAAAAACGCTTCGAAACGTTAGTGGGAGAAATTAACGTAAAAAAATGCATGAAAATTAATCGTAGCAGGGTTAAAGAGATATCATCACACGTTTACAACTGGTCAAGTTAGTGTGCGCTCTAAATACGCTTTATCTACGGCTGTGATAAACACCAGCACCTATACAATTATGGAAATCTTTATTTGATCACTAAGTTGTATTCATATTTCTGCACTGTCATCTCATGTGAACTCAATATTTGCATTTTAACAAAAGGATCCTATGTCATTCGATATTCACTACTTTTAATCTGAAAGACTCCCAATTCGAAGTGAATGGCATGTCACTTCAAAATATATTTATTTTACAGAAGTAAAAAACTGAGTTTGGTAGCTAGAACGTCCGGAACAAAACTCTTGGAAAAAATACTAGGGAGTAAGAATATGTACAAACATTGAGTAAGTAATTCAAGAAATCATACCGTTATTCACACCGAATAAATTACGGACCCTGTCGAAGAATGTGCTAAAGAAGCTGAAAGGACTAGTTCATATTTAATTTTCACATTACTTTTGAACTGGCAGGAACCCAACAGATGTGTGACTTGGAGTTGCACAACAACCTACTTTGCAAGCAGCAACCAACTTTGTATCCGACTTGTATACATCATCACAAGATTCTTCACAAGTAAATGTTGCCAACAATGAATTCAAGTTTGACAGGACACAACCTCTGGAACACGCATCTTCTTCAGCCCCCTACAAACAAGTCATATTTGATTATTTCCGTACGATAACAAGAAAATATTTGCTAAGAAAAAAAGAGGAAGGCGAACTACCAATTTGCAGTTGAAAGCATGGCACATGAGAAATAACCAGACAATGTTGAAATCGCTGTAGATCCATTTAGACTAACATATCGTGGTATGTAATTAATGGTGATCATCAGCAAGTTTTAGACCTAGGTACTCGTAATGCTATTAATGACTACTGTAGTCAAACAACTTAATTTTAGACCAGTTCAAAATCCCTGAAGGTGAACTGGCCTCTGTTAAAGATATTACAAACAGCTCTAATTGCACCAAGATTAGTTTACTAAGTCATTTTATGGAGGAACGTCAGAAAGTCATTAGATGTTAAAAGTTTCATCTGAATCGAACGATTATCAAAGCCATGACATTAAGCAAACTTGAGAGAGCAGATAGCCCAGCCTTGAAAAAATTGAATAGTGGCAAGCAGTAAAAATGAGTGACACTAACTGGTGACTATTTACACTAATAAATCGCCTACCCTTCAAAACGTAACAACAGGCAAATTTTTACAGCAGTCACGAGTGCTATTTTATTGTGCGACCGACAGTTTGCTTCCCCGTCGTAATATGATGACCAGAATGAAAGCAAAACTAAAGTGTTTTGTAAAATTGTTATCAAACTAGGAATTCTGTGGAATGGTGACTAACGAGAGGCCTACATGCTATTTGTGAAGTGGAGGAGATTCAACCCGTTAAAAAATTTACCCTTTTCACATGAGTGGCAGTCCAAGTTGCTATATTACGTGGAGACAAAGTTATTATTAAATCATGAAAAGCGAGAATGAAAACCCTTAGTAAACTAGTTGGGAACTACCTAAAATAATTCAGAAGTATTTAAAGCTCACACATCTGCAAAGCATTTTTTGTTTGAAGCAATCGAGTTACGCCGAACTGGAACTCAGTTGGGAAACTTACTCCCAAGCTAGTTCCCAGTAACTAAGCTACAGAATAGTCAGTCAAATAAGTCAGCTACAACGTAGGACCAGGCACGTATATGCATCGGTCCAACTTTTCATAACTCATTAGCACAATATGAACACAAAATCCATAGTAGTTACTTCAATGGTAGTAATATATAACAGACACCTAGATGTTAAGAGAAGTAAGAAAATTGTCGAAAATAACAATGTGAGCCCTATATAACTGCATCCACGAACATATGATCTAGGTATGTCTTCTTATACTTACATCAAATTTGGTGACGCAAACTTCTTGACAAGTTTTCGGAGTTAATGGTAACTCAACAGCATCAACGAATGAGTAAAAAAGGGCGAACAAGGGCAAAACCAGAACTCTCATTATCAAGAACGAAACCAAACGCCAGTAGTCTTGTTTACAAAACTAATATGTTCAAACAACTGTTAACTAACGTAACGTAACTTATAAATCTCAAAATACTCAATCATCCAACTCATAGTTTTCCAATAATCTTCGAGAAGAATTGGATTGAACACCTGTACGAAAATCCTTGTATATGGTTTTTATATTACACTGTCACAAATCATTTGAGTCCTGGTGCAAACAGCATTAAAACATCACGTCACTAGAACTGAAGTTTGATTTACAAGCAGCCAGGAGTCTATGGTAAAGACGCTTGCATATTTTTCCGAAATAAGGCAATAACCTCAGCTATCCTTCCATCCGAATACCTAATTCCAGACATCAACTGATATAATAAGAAAGTTATTTATTCACTACCAGACAAAAGTAAGGATAGTATGGCCAGATCAGTGTACTGGTTGACATATATGCATAAAAATGGCTTTACAATTTGTTCATATAAGATGTGCAGTTCGTGGTGGTAAAATTCATACTCATCGGCGAAAAAACCTTCGACCCCAACTGTAATACGATAAATAGTTCAGTAATGCGAAACCATGAACTTATATAGCACTTCAAGTTCCACTTCCAAGCTGTATCACATCTGTCAACAACCACATTGCATGACAACACAGACTCCAATCGTCCTCACGGAATTTTCATTTTTAAGAACGTTATTCGGCCAGTTTGGCTCAAAATTTGTTTCGGATCGCTGCTAAGTGAACAACGTGACTGTCGTTAAAGACTTCCTAATAATTAGGCTTTAGGTTTCAGTGAACTCCCACAGATAATGAGCCTAATCATCCGCGAAGTAGATCACTGAATGTCGAACAGGTTAGTGGACCTTGTGAAGGTCAAGGAAAATCAATGTGAGTCAACCAACAGCATAACATGGACAAGCGCATGTGGAAGTGGTTCTACCTCGTAGTTCTGTAAAGGGAAATTCTAGTATATGTTGTCGCTTACTGAGAGCATTTATTCTAGCAAATCACCTAAGAAAGCGATTCATTCGATTATCTCGTAGAGAATTTCAGAACTCCACTGATGGCCAAGTGTAACTTTGACAAAGGATAGAAAATCACACCATTCCCATTTTTTGACTACAACCCGATCATCGACACAAGTCAGCAACACTGATCTGTGCCTACTTACTTACTTACTTACTTACTTACTTACTTACTTACGCCTGTTACTCCTCGTGAAGGAGCATAGGCAGCTCACTGATCTGTGTTGGTAAGACCTTAAAATATGCAATCATAATTACTTTGGTTATTACTTTATTTTTCGCATCTGCCTTCATTATGGAAGTTTTTTGATTAGCGTTAAATGTCTTATTTTGGCACTGATTCGTACTGACAGAAATAGCAGGTCAACCACCGTTATAAGCGGCTCTCGTGGTTTTCCCGCAAACATTGGTAGCATGTCGTGCATCTGTGTAATGTCTGCTAAAACATCAACCCCTCACAAACATAGCCACAAGACGACGCGGATGCGCATGTCTGCAAATTATACACCTAATATGCATAAGCCTAGACTAGCTTTCGACTATAAATTCATCTTCCTCCTTTTTCCCTTTACATTATGCATTATTATTCACCAAAGACTATCCTCAATACTTTTTTGAAGTTGAATACTGCTTACTAAATTTTCAATGATTGAGTTCCGGGGTCGAGCAGAAAATAAGAATGCAGGAAATTGACATTATGATTGGGACTAATTTCCTGAAAGTTTAGATTTCATTCATATTATTGGTTCAGTCAGTGCTACGTATTTGGCTTGAGTCAGTTTTTGACCGATACCAAATCAATGTATAGGGCTACGCGAATTCAAGAACTTAATTAAATACCATATTTAATCCAGATTCGCTCGTGTTTATGTAGATTCGAGCGATCTTCATTGCGTGAGTGTCAGAATGGTTCAAATGATTTTCACATTAAGTTATTTCCCATTATATTTATGATGTTTAGCGACATTTAATAGTTACCTCCACAAAAGAGACTTATTTTCGACCACTCGTTAATTTGTTGTCGAAATCGGGTACATGTATGGCTCGCAAGACAATGTAATATGAAGAAAGGCATTGATTGTTAACAAACTACCTTACACTAGGTTTTGACGTTAAACTCCATCGTATTATCGTGCATACTACAATAACTAATACTACATGTCAAACCTTTCACAACATCCTTGTCGCAAATGTCTGCGATATATATGTACTATCAGAACTAAAGCGAATTGAAAAGTCAAATCACTGTTGAGGTTAATATTGTTTCGCGTGCTCTAGCCTGGTCGAAATCTGGAACAAAGTGGCTAGATGATGGACAGTTATTAGTTTTAATAAATTCAAAGGTGCATTATTACCTAAGCAAAAAATAACACACAGTTGTTCAGCAAACAATTATTCAAGTAACAATCGAGCCTAAAGAACTGTTTAGGACAACACAAAATAACATCAGCACCAAGTTACTGTGAGTTCCTTCCTGTTTATCCTGTATTACCTTTTTGCTCTTCTGTACACTATGTTGACTAGCAATTAATATTATTTCTCCACTCGTTACCTTATCCACAACTCATATACTTTTATACTATTCCGCCTACTTTAATAAACAACTATCCTACAATATACTCTTAATGCTTACACTCTGATAGGCAAACTATACTTTATACTATAGTCAACAAAATCACTGCATCGATGCCTTACCCACAGTCCATAACTTGTAAAATGGTACTTATGGAAATAGCCTGAGGTGTGAGGTATGACATATATACAAAGATAAGCTTAAACGAGCCTAACATCACAAAAGGAGGGAGGGCGGATTTACTGACCAGCAAGTATTGGTGGTGGGGGCGATAACTTTAATCCACCCATGTTTGTGGGGGTAGAACATTTTGTATGTATCAGGCTCTTTATGACTGAGAATAAGCCAATTAATCTGTGATATCGATTGTTTTCCTACGCTCACCACTCACACTCACGTTTCCAATATTATGCTGGATTAGCTGTTCTATCAAGACAACCTATAACATGCTAACTCGGACTTTTAAACTAGGACTGTGTGGCTGGCATCGGATAGACGAAAAAAGGAAAAAAATTAGACAACAAAAGATATAGTCATTAGTATTCTTAACACTTCACCCTCTATATACACACCCTTCTAATAAACCGCTTTCCTTGTACCAGCTTTGTCTTCCATTCCTTCATGTGAGCTTACCCCAACTTGTTAAACGACACAACTCATTGTTCTTTATTACTATATTCTCTAATATAGAGCCTCTGACTTCATTTCACTCCAAAAAGAGATAATATGAATTTATTCTTATTTATTATACCTCTGTCCGTTTTACAACACAATGTTAAGCAACGTTTGGCGTTCATATCCAAGTGCCTTGCTGCACTTCTGTTTCTCTTTTTTTTCTTCACAAATTTTCTCTGAGCACAGCTATGAAACTCCTGACGTCTGGAACAAACTTGACGTACGCATCTCCTCAAGGTCACGGTTTACAGCAAGCACCCTACGAGTATACTTTATAGATCATGCCTGTAAAATGACGTGTACCCGCACATGCAGAAATATATTATTATTATTATAAGGCACATATACTGATAAAGGAAACAAAGTAGTTACTACGTTTACCATACAGGAATTCCAACAAATCTAGGAATGTCATTCTGCTGTTTCTGGATGGATCACTTATAGACTTTTTGGTATATAATATTCAGTCCTATAAAAATACCAGTCACAAAGGTTATAACACTGAATGTTTTCACTATCAGAAAATTACCTCACCTCACAATTGAAAATACATAATTCCTGTAAGTCCAAATGTAACAGATTTACTACCTTGCATACGAAAATGTAAGGAAAAAGAGTCTCCATTTACAATCATCTGTTTCCACAGTGATAAAAGTTACAATAACGTGCATTAAATGCATTTTTTCTAGTGCGAATCCTAATCAACAACCTGGTACCACCCAACTTAGTTGCTTTCACGCTGCAGATTCAAACTTTGATCCAGTCATTTCCTCCATAAAACCGTCACACAAGGCGCTCGTCGAACTAATTATGTCTTTCTACTATTGAAATCTGACCTTCGACTCTTCCTGGGCACCGTTAATACCTGAGGTAATAAAAGAAATGGGGTGAGTGTTTTCTTTACAACTTTGTCTATTCTTTGCCACTTTATACTGTTTCAAACGGTTGAAATTTATTGTTAAATTCCCTATTTGTCCTTTTGTCTTTTCAATGCAGTCATAGGTATTCTACATTATCTGTCAGTCAACTCAGTAGAGTTCACTCCACTCGTTGCTACGCTCAAATCAATAATGACCAGTGATGATTGTCTGCTTATATCGAACTTTCTCTCCATAAAGGCGTCTGAACGTTCCCGATCATAAAATGCGTTTTGCCTGCGTCTGAATTTTTCTAGCTTCTCTCTGTCCCAGCCATGATAGTGTAGACCCACTTCTTAACAGAACCACAATTTCCAAAGCAGTAAATGGATCATCCCACTGGCTTGTATCACTGGGAAGACACGTATCTCTTCCCGTTCACACTAAGTGTGGTGCAAGACCTTCGATCACAATAAAATATGAGAAGACCGAGAGCGATCAGAGTGGAAACTTGTAACATGATAAATGACCTATGGCACTGTTTTTACCAGACAATCTCCACCAGTACAAGCCTAGTGAGACCCTCACAGAGTTCTTAAGTAACGTTCATGACCCAAGCCAAAGTTACCAGTTTAACATTTAGAAGGATTGAGTGTAAGACCATTAACAACAGACAATCTTCAGTAAGGGAACTCCATTTCATGGGGAATGTGGAAATTTGAAATCAGTTGACATATTTAACAAGTTTTTTTCTTTGGAAGATGGCTGATCATTTAAAAGAAGAGGAGAGAAGATTAAAAGGAGAATCATTTTGTGGAATACCTTCATCAGTCAGTAGGGACGTTGGACACTATTCTCTTCTACGAGG